AAAACAACCAAAATCAACACTATCCACAATTCTTTTTTCTTTTGACTGCATTCTCCAGGATCTCCTACCTCTCACCACTCCTGCTCAGCCTCCTTCACTGGCTTTTCTTTGGCCCCTTCTTTACATTTAACCTTCTCAAGGACTCTGGCCTTAGTCCTCACCTCTTTGACTCTGTTTTCTTCTTTAATGAGTTGGTCCATGTCTGTAATTTTGATTATCCCCAGCAACCCATGTGTCCTACCTTATCTCTCTCTTCTAAGATGTAGACCTGTATTTCCAAATGGTCGACTGGATCTTTCCATGTGGATGAACTTTCTAAAGACACCACAAACTCAGCATATCATCTCCTTTCCCAATTCCCCCTCCCTCTCACTGACACTAGTCTATTCAGTAAATACACCATTTAATAGCTCTAATAGTGTAAATAACAGCAAAGACGTTTTTTAAAATACTTCATACAAACTTGACCACTAAAAGAAATAATGATTGCATTTATTTTGACATCTGTGGTCAGTCACAAATTGCATTTGGGGCTAATTCATACAATTAGCTCTAAAAAGGGGCTGCTAAAGAATTTGATAAATAGGATTCCATTGGTGATTGTCAAGAATGCAATTACAGTCAATTGCAACCTGATTGTGATTGGTGTAGAATTGAGGAGAAAAGAGCTGTTGCTAGTAAGAAAGGACCACTCTTTCAAGTTTGACAGTGAAGAGATAAGAGAGAGTAAAGGAATGCCTTTAGGGCAGCGATTTTCCACAGTGGCAGGCACACTGGTGTGTCTCAAGAATATTTTTTTTAATTGTTGACATTATCACAGGTTTCCCCCATTCTTCCCCCTTTTATGCCACAAGAATTTTTAAAATGTGCAACACCTGACTATTTAGTCAGAGGCACTGACCTCTTTTCTCTTAGATCGTCAATTAAAAAATGACAACAGCCAACACAACAATAGCCATCTGGTGTAAATGAATCAAAATTATATCTTATTTTTTTTGTCAGATCATCAAAAATATATTTTGTTGGTGTGCCGCAGAATTTTAGTAATTAGTTTATGTGTGCCATGAGATGAAAAGGGTTGAAAACCCTGCTTTAGGGGAAAGCAGATGTGAGGAAGTCATCTTTCAGGACAGGGAAAAATAAACAATTTTGCAGCCTGCAGGTAGGAAGGTGGTGGAGAAGGGATTAAAGAGAGGGGAAATGAGAAGATAGCAACTGAGTACTGACAACCAGGAAGAAGAGAGTGGGAAGGTCTCTGTACTTCTGTGTACATAGTTCCTATGTAACATTTGCTTTAATAAATTGGGCCTATTTATCATTCATTGCAGTATTGAATAAATGATAGTAAAAAAAAATTTAACATTTACATTTGATCTTTAACCTTGACATTTATGTTGACATCTGTAGGTAGGCAAAAATTGCAGTTGAGGCAAATTTGTACAATTAACTAAATCATGTGTTCCTTTTTTCCTTTCAAAATTTCCTTCATATATTCCATTCCTAATGAGTATGAAGAATCCTTTTAATTCAACCCAGACACAAGTAGTATCTTTCAATTAATACTGTTACTTTTTAATAAAACCCTATTCTCAAAATTGAACATAGGGTGCTTCATATTTCAGGTCTCTACCCCACCAAATTATCTCGTTGTTTTGTTGTTACTTGCAAAATTTCCTGATGTAATGCATTCTATATCTGCGGCCATATATTGTCTTCCTATGCAATTTCCAAGTTTTATGGTTTATTTAAGTCAAGTGAATAAACCTAGCATTCTGTTCTACTTTTGTGGAGGAGAGAGTGAAGGAGTGGGAAGCAAAAGGTAAACAGGGCTAAGGAGAGATGGTGGAATGTCTGCAGAGAGGGGAGCCAGGGTCATTGTCCTGAAGAAAACCACAGATGTGATTCAGGGCTATTAAGAAAGTTATTAGCACCAAGAAGGAACTAGATAGTCCTCCTTCCAGTTACTCAGAAAGGATTTAGAATGGTGTGGGGAAGATGGGAGATAACGATGCTTGGCGCGTTTCAGAGATGGGACCCTGATCTCCAGCTAAAAGCTTCTTACAGGGAATGAGGCATTGTCGGCAAATGATGAGTTATTTCCCTTGTGTCTTTCCTCACTCTTCCCATCTCAAAGTCTTCCCTGATTTGGCTCCACTGCACTAACACTCCCTCCTGAACAGCACTTAGGTGAGCAGTGCACAAAATCGCTGGCAGGCAGCCTGCTGAGGCTGAGGGGGAAAGGGGCCTTCCCTCACTGCCTCAGTGGCCAGGAGAGGTGGGAGGAGCACAGGAAGTGATTGCCCTCGGGCGTCTCCTCCCACAGAAGCCCTGCCTCCTCAGGCTCTCAGGCTTGGAGAGTAGAGGGGTCAGCTTTCTTTCTCCTAGTTCAGTCCTTTGGCTTATGGGAGAGACCACGCAGAAAGCGATGATGGCGTTGCTTTCTGTGCTCAACAAAAATGCTTAGATAGAAGACAGGGACTCCCGGCTGGGAGGAGGGAGGCGAGCTGAAGATCCCTGCCTGGGCTGGCTCATCTAAGCAGGCAAAGTGGGAGCTGAGTGCTTGAAAGAGGATTGTGCTCGCACTAGAAATAAGCAGTAAGTGAGGGAATAACCATCCTGGTGTAGAAAAGGCTTAATCCCCCTGGGGTGATGGGGTGAACTGGGAAATATTGCTTAACTCTAGAGTAAAACTGTAAGAAATCTGACTGCGTACAGTTGTGTGCTGTTTGGAGACTGGAGGTTTAAATACAGAATCAGAGCTCTAAGTTCCTCCTCCCACTTTTGGAAAATGCCAACTTCTGCTTTCAGTAGTTGGGGCGATACTCTCCTTTCCTGACCCTGCCTCTCGCCAGGAAAATGTACTATTATATTAGATAAAGAGTTGGGATTAAATTGGAAAGGTGGGATGCTGGTATTGGCAGAAACTGCAACTTTGAATTATGTTCTATGAATTCGGATATTTTTATATCAATTAGTACTGATTTGCTAATCACAAGGAAGTCTGGGGTGGGGCATTAAAAAGGGAAAGCTGAGAGCTTTTAGGACAAAGAGGCTGAGTAGTCCTTATGTGGGGGATGAGATATAAAAATGCATATAATTAATAATAGGTTTGTTTTTTAAAAAAAGCATTAACTAGAACAGCAGAGAACATTGTGCTTGGATAAAAATTAGTTAGAAAAGAAGAAATTTTTGTTTCAATGACTTTTTGTGCTAGCCTAAATTTTCACAATGTTTACAAAGACAAGACAATGATTCAGGGATACTTCCATTATTGCCATACATTATAAATACTATTGCTGGGCAAGATCTGTGGTTCTCTGCTCAGCAAGTTCTGGCAATGAAGCCACTGCCTCTGGTGCAAAGAATTCTGGGATGTCTGACAGTGACATGGATGGAAGGACCCACATTCCATCTCTACTTAATGTCCTTTTGTCCAGAAATCGAGTCATGCAAATGAGCTACTTGGTACGTATACAGATCAATATTTGGAAAAGCATTTCTAAACGTTTTGCATTAGAGGGTCTCTGGACAATATCCTATGGCAACCAGGGGACTAAAAGGATATAAAAGCCAAGTGATAGGAAGGAAGTCAGGTTGGTTGAAACCACCCTTGTTCTCTTTGTTTTCCATTAATCCTGAAATGGTTCCTCAAATGAGGACAAGAATAACAATAGAGAGAAGTACAGTGGCCATCTGTTCTGCTCTAAGTGGCCAAATTCATTAATATATGAATGAGACTGTATTTATGCATCCTAATACTTGAAGATTCAGAAATCTCTTTATTACACACACGAAAACACACACACACACACACACACACACACACACACACCCCAGAAAAATAGTAGGTACATTTATTGAGGAGGAAATGTGGAAATCTGGTTTTGAAATGTTTTGGGGGGAGGGAGGAAAAGACAAGAGTCACGTCCCACACTGTAAACAGATTTATGTCATGTTTCATAAAGGATATCATTTCCTCCCCCAATGAGATGGGGATTCTAATATGGTACAGTAGGTGCAAACATAAGAAACATTTTCAATTCCCTTAATTCTAGTCAATGTAGTTAATACCTAAAGAAGGAATTGTTTTTTAAAAAATAATAACTTTGAAATATAGCTAACTGTATAGCAATTTCTTTTTTTTTTCCTTTTGTTACTGGTCCTCTATAGAGGTCTTTAATTTCTGAAATTAAGAAGAAATATGTCATTTCTGGCATTCCCATCAGCAGGGTATTGCAAGAAAGAATAAAAAAGACTCAAATAAATGATCTTTCTCCTATCAGCACAACAGTAAAATGGTTGTCATGATCTATATCCTTTTCTGATGTTAGAATTTTTCTATGGGGTAGGTAGAAGGAGAATGGTCGTTGGGGGAGAAATGATAAAATGCTAATAAATTCATTTTTAAAGATGGTCTGTACTCTTCTAACTTTTCAAACTAATTCTGAAAGTTATTTATCTTTTTAAAATTATTTGAGTTGTTTTTACAATGTTAGTTTTTATCTGATTTATAAGCAAATGTGTAAAATCTAAAGATTTGTTATCTGAGTTGCAGGATACTGGTCTTATTCTTAAAAATATATAAGGGATTAAAATAAAACATTTAGTAGTTGAAGTCTTAAGTCTAGTATTACTAACTGCAGTTTTGACCTTTAAGAAAAATGTGCTCCAGACTCTTAAAGGAATTACTTATATTAAAGTATTAAAGAATCTTTTCTAAAACTACAGAGTAAAAAAAAAGAAGCATAACAATATTCAGAGAAGAATAAAGATGTAATTTGTATGGAAGAGGCTAAGCAAAAAATACTTAATGAATAATTATAAACCAACAGCTTAACAATAAAACATTTGCTATTGTCCATGAGAAACTGACATGAAGAATAATGTATTATGACTAGGGAACAGGGCTAAGTAAACTTTATCTTTTAAAAGTATTAAGTGGGATTTAGATTATTAATGGAAACAAACTAAATGATCATTTAAAATTATTCTTTCACAAGAAAAGTAAAGAAAAAGGATATGGAAAACTAAGCAGTGATGAAGACCTCGAGATAATTGTTGATCAAAAGCAGGTAAGTGAATGCTTACATACATTTTCTACTGTTTCACTGTAGAGTTTTAACAACTGAAGCCTTTGAGTATTCAGCCCTGCCCTAATCGAGGAGGCCTGTCTAACAAGATAGATTTGAGAGCTGCTAAGCTTCCCCCCCATGATGCCTCTGATCCACTGACTTTTGTATGTCAGGGTGTAAGAATGGTGAAAAATAAAGCAGAGCAAGAAAAGAGAACTTTTGGAAAATTAAAAGCCCCCTTTGAAAAATGAATCAAAACAACAATGATAATTTGGTTAGCAAAATAGATTTAAGCAAGAATCAGAAAGTATACTTTTTTGAAAATGAGAAATGCTACCCTTAGTGTAAAACAATGAATATGATTGAGGGAGAGGGAGACAAAAGACTTTAAAAAAACTGAGAAGTTTAAAATATGTCTATCTAGAATAGATAGATTACCCAATTTAGTTTCTCAGCTAGTCTCCAGTAAATTTAGAGATGATGTTTAAAAAACAAAAATGAAGCTATTTAAGACCTGTAATACTGCCTATAATTTGAGAAACATCTAGCTTGGGTTTTATATGGGCCCATAAGGTGAAATTGAAAACTGCTTAATAGACCAAAAACAATGACACACCAGGTAATGGAAGGTATCCAGCTTATGCCACTGAATTGGCATCAGCCCTTAACGTCTTTGTTAATTGTCGGGGAGACAGGCTAACTGCACTTTCGCTTAATGTACAAGTGGCATTGATGCTGAGGGTGATGTGAACTCAGGTGGAGATAAATAATTCAAAGCAGTCTGAGCAGATGAAGAGGTTAGAAAGACAGCAAGCTACAGGAAGGCTAGTTGAATCTGGACAATTTCCTAACTGTGCATTTGTTTTGCATCGTGGTGATTGCATTCAAGGAGCAATTGTGTATATTTCTGAAAAGGAAAAATGACCGTCGGAAAATAGCAGCCAGAGACAGTTAACTTAGAGACTTGCTTGTCAGAGCTGGGATAACTGAGGTAACTGAAGTGATCTTCTGGGAAAAACTGGCCAAATAACCTCCATAAACAACCTGCAAGTTTTTCTTGCCTTATCTTCACTTTCTGGCTCCTGAATAATGTACGGGGGCAGAGAGAGTTTGGCCCTGTATTTCTACTTAGTGCCAAATTGTCAGTTTCATCAATAAGGTAAGTGGGACTGGAGCCTGATCGCTCCACCGGGCTGTTAGGTCTCATTTGAACTATGCCAGGATTGGTACTTGGGGCACACAAGCTCCATCTCCCACAGCCTGGCATTCTGATCCGAGGACCGGCCCTACGTGGTGAATGACGCCATTCAGCATCTGACGAGCATCTACACGTCTATGCGTTCTCTATTAAAACAAAAAGTTATGACTTAATTTCTTTCCTAATCTTGTGGCTGGTAAATTCTTACTCTTTTTTGTATTTCTTTAGTTTCATGCTACCCCAAGGCTGCTTTTCTTTCTTTTTTTCTCCCTAAAGTTTCTTTTTGTTTTTAACTGAATTTGGGGGTTCCGAAAACCATCAAATTGTACATGGAGATCTTCGGAGTGGAAAGCCCACGGGAGTCATGGGCTTTATCTCATGGTACCTTCCATAAAACTTACGTTGGTGTGCCCAAACATATTTTACTAACTGTTAAGGAAGCTTCAAAAAATAAGAGAGAGAGAGAGAGAGAGAGAGAGAGAGAGAGAGAGAGAGAGAGACCTACTTTACTGCTTTTTCAGAAAACAGCACTTTCCATACCTGAATCAAAGGAGGGAGAGTTTTATTGGTCCAGGCATTGTTTGCCTCTGTGGTTATCACATTTCCTCCGATGCCATTGTGCCTGTTGGCACCAGCTGGCAGAGACCCAGCTTTGCTGAATCATTCATGTCAAACATGTTTCAAAAGATGAGTAATTATGAATATGACTTGGCATTGGTGTTTGCTGTTGGCTCTAAGAGTAGTTCTTCCTTTTGGGGCAGTTTGTTTAATGTTGATGTTGTGAGTAAATCCCAGGTCGGACCAATGACAGTGTTGCTACCTGTAAGTAAAATATTTGGGAAAACAGTCTAATTAGTCTTTATAATTCTACAAAAAAATTCTTCCTGAATTTAAGAGATCAACGTTAAAGGTATGTGTGTAAAATGCATGTTTAATATTGCTTCATCTCATAGATTATATATATTATTTATATGTAATATTATTTTATGTATTGATATATTATATTACATATAATATATATTTTATTTATAATATATATACACACACTATTGGAGAAGAATCTTAATGTTCAATTTATTCTTCCTATCTTTTCAGAAACAGGCTAGAAATATGTTAGTCAATCTTCATATAATTGCAAATAGCTTTTTCAGTAAATGGTGCCAAAATTCTAAAGATTTTAAAAAGTAGTTTGAGGCTGTGATGGGCAGAAGTCTACTAATCTCATTAAATCTGTCCTTCAGAAGCTGTCACTTTACAAATGCTGTGCAAGCTATGTGCCATTTTATCAGCCGTGTAAGTCTGGTACTTCCACAGAAAGCCCACAGTTTTGCTTATATAAGCAAATTAATAACAGAAGCAGCACAGGGTATGTGCATTTTGTTCTCCCCAGCTGCCCACATTCGAGGGGGTAAAGGTTATTTCTGTGTTATTTCTGCATAAGAACAGTAATTTTGAAAATGTCTAAAGTTTTATTGTTAAATGGTAATATTGTGCTTCTTTGTAAAATTTTATTGGGAAAGTTTATTTGAGATGCATATAAAACATTTCACAAAAATCTTAGATTAGTGTTGATATCCTCAAATAATAGGTGATATAATATGTAATCACACACACACACACACACACACACACACACACACACAGTCATTTAAATAAAAAAAGTGTTTTCACACATTTATATTTATACTGGTATCAGAATCCATATTCTCCACAAGAAAATCCTTAAGGTTTTTTTTTTATTATTTTTAAGTATCTTTTTATTGATTTCAGAGAGAGGAAGGGAGAGAGAGAGATAGAAATATCAGAGATAGAAATATCAAATATCATTGATCGACTGCCTCCTGCATATCCCACACTTGGGACCCACAACCTGGGCATGTGCCCTGACTGGAATTGAACTGTGACCTCCTGGTTCATGGGTCAACTCTCAACCGCTGAGCCATACCAGCTGGGCCCTAAAGCTTTTAAACTCGAAGTCTAGGAAGGTAATCAAAGGAAACATGTTGGATTAAAATCTTATTGACTCTAAGATCCAGCTATTTGACATAAAATATATATACTGTTTATTGTAATTACATGTAGAAATATAGTTATTCTATATAAATTATCTATATATAAAAGCCTAAGCAACCAAATGACCAAATGACCAGTTGACTGATCGCTATGACATGCACTAACCCCTAGGGGGCAGACACTCAATGCAGGAGCTGCCCCTTGGTGGTCAGTGTGCTCTCACAGCCTACCTCCTGAGGCCCAATCGGCTCCGATCACCAGCCAGGCTGAGGGACCCCACCTATGCACGAATTCATGCCTCGGGCCTCCAGTAATATATATAATTAATGAATTATTGCTTTCTAGAATAAATATTAAAAGAAAAAATTTAAATACATATTTTGGTTCATTTTTGTTATTTATTTAAATATTCTCTCTGATTGGCAGGGGTGGATCTTGTTGAGGAATAGGTTTCATGCACACATGAGTTTCCTTTTCCAAGTTACTAAGATTTTAGAGGTGGGATTAAAACATTAACCACTTTGAATAAATAATAAATTCATTATGTTTTAAATTATTATTTTTAATTAGAGTCCATTTCATTCAAGGTTTATAATATGCTGAAACTAAATAGCGCTTTTTCTAAAATGTTTTCAAATTCCGAGTAGACTTAAGGGAGGTAACAAAGACCAACACAGAATTATAGAATATGATGATTATATGAAGGCTATACTTACAAGTTCAAGTATTTCAGAAATGGGCTTGACAGGATGCTGTGGATCTGGTTGGTTATAGGACTCAGCATTGCAGCAGCATATTCTTTAGTGCAAAGTGTCAGATGTCAGCCAGTTATAAAGGGAACAAGAAACTGAACATGGATGAAAGCAGTGATTCTCAAAAGTTAGCAGCCTCAGAAACCCCTGGGCAGCCTTTTAGAGCACAGAGTGCCGGGCCCAGCCTCAGTTTCCAGTTCTGTAGGTCTTGGGTGGGGCCCAAGAATTTTCATTTCTAAGTCCTCAGCTCCCACTGCTGGACTGCACTTTGAGGCCCACTGAGTCAAAGGAGATAATTGTTGCAGTTCTAAAGAGAAAACAACATATATGGCTTGTGATAAATTTGGCATTGTTTAACTGGGCATTGCCTGGAAATCTAAAATCCAGAATTCATAGACATCCAACAAAATAATGCTGAAAACAAGAAAACTACAACCATTCACATCCAAAGTTGCCTTTAAAGACCCAGGTTTACAGTCTGACTGAATTCCACTTGGTAGCCTTGTGCTCTCGAACCTTCTCTAATTTGTAAAATAATACTTGGCTCTTTCTATCTCTGGCCATTTCTCTGAGATAAAATTTGTAATAGTACTCTGTTAACTGTAGATTGTTGTCATTTTTTAAATATATTTTATTGATTTTAGACAGGAAGGGAAAGGGAGAGAGAGAGAGATAGAAACATCAATGATGAGAGAGAATCATTGATTGGCTGCCTCCTGCACATCCCCTACTGGGGATCGAGCCCACAACCCAGGCATGTGCCTTTGGCCGGAATCGAACCTGGGACCCTTCAGTCCACAGGCCAGCGCTTTATCCATTGAGCCAAACCAGCTAGGGCAATCGTTGTCATTTTAATTAGCTAGTCATTACCACCTATATTCATCTACCTCACCTGCCATAACAGAATACCATAGACGTGGTGCTTAAATGACAGGCATTCATACCATAGACGTGGTGCTTAAATGACAGGCTGGAAAGTCCAAGATCAAGATGCTGGCCCATCCTGAGGGTTTCAGGCAAGAGCCTGTTCCTGGCTG